TGCTTATTTCATATTTTTTATCCACTGCTTCATCTACTTTTGATATTTATTTTTTGCTAGATATTCAAAAATATTTTTGCTTCCTTTATCCACTGCTTCCAAATATTTTTGCTTGCTTTGATTATAAATTATGATGAAAATTTATGTATTCCCATGCTTTACCTAATCGAAGCTTATGGAGATTGGAGGAAGTTACTTACATATTTGGAGATTAAAGTAAAAGAGTGTATAGAAGGAATTCTGTCAAATAGGTTTGGGGACTTCTTATTTACTTACCTCTCGTAATTGTGCCCTACATCTTATGATGAATAACAAGAGTTCTTTTCAGATGAAAAAAGATTGCGTATACTGACTTTTGGGCTTTTAGCAATACGTGTTCTTGATGTATACCAAGAGTTCTTTTACTTTTACTGAAATTGGAGAAAGATAATAAAATGATATTTTTTGTAGTAAATTGAATCAATATTATTACTATTAAAAATAACAGCAAATCATAAGCAAGAAATAAATATTTGAAGCTGTAATTTGGAGGTACCATTTTTACATTGTCAAGCATAAATTGAAATACAATGCATGTGGCAAAATGCAGATTAATACAAAAGCTACAAAATGTAGATTTTTACATAAAAGAATTTGGCTCAAACGGGAATGCTAAAGAAGATATGCTCAAGTCATAAACTTCATAAATAATGAACAAATTAAATTTAAAATAATCATGTCCAACTTCATACAATTTAATATAAAAATTACAAAACAAAGTTTCCATCTCTTGCACACCAAACTTATAGCAAATACTTTTCTAGTATAGAAGAAAATAAGAAACAAAATTGATATAATCAGTTTGCAGAATTTTTTGATAACTTCCCAAAGAATATTCCAGTTAACATAGCAGATGAAATAACATTTGTATCATTTTTATTTGTTACCACTTCCACTCTTTCTTCAATGGCCGAGCTTGAAGATGGCTCTTCCCATGAATCACTTGTTGTTTAAATTCGTTGAAGGCTTCTAAGGCTTCATCATAACATTGAAAAGCTTGGAAGCAGTTACCCTCGTGTAACGACCAGGCCGGTCGTTTCATGAGTTACCGCTCCGTTTCCCCCATTTCGGCTTCTTTATGTGTTTTTCAGCTATATTTCACCGTATCGTGTTGGTTTGTTTAGGTTCGGAGTAGTTTTGTAGAGGAATGAGACACTTAGTCTCTTTTGAGAAAGCTTAAGTTGGAAAAGTCAACCGAATGTTGACTTATGGGTAAATGATCTCAGAATTTGGATTTTATGATTTGGATAGCTTCGTTAGGTGATTTGGGACTTAGTAGCGTGTTCAGAATGTATGTTGAAGGTCCGTGGTAGACTTAGGCTTGAATTGGCGAAATTAGAATTTTGGCGTTTTCCGGCCGGCAGTGGAAATCTTTATATCGGGGTCGGATTGGAAGTGTGTGCAAAATTTCAGGTATTTTGGACGAGGTTTGATAGGTTTTTACATCGTTTGCGGAATTCGGAAGTTTAGAAATCCTTAGGCTTGAATCCGATGGTAATTTGATGTTTTGATGTTGTTTTGAGTGTTCCGAAGGTTGGAACAAGTTTGAATGATGTTATGAGATGTGTTAGACATATTTGGTTGAGGTCCCAAGGGCTTCGGGTGAGTTTCGGGCGGTTAACGGACAAATTCTTGGTTTTGGAAGTTGGCAGATTTTTTGGTATTTTGTTGCAGAGAAATCATTCTTCGCGTTCGCGAAGGGATAATGAGAGGGGAAGCCTAGTTGTGCTTCGCGTTCGCGATGTAAGTTCCGCATTCGCGAAAGTATGGGAGTTCAAGGCTACGCGTTCGCGACTTGGGCCTCACGTTTGCCTAGAGTCTACGGTCATGTGGAATTTACGCAATTAAGCCTACGCGTTCACGATGGGTGTTCCGCATTCGCGTATGGTCGAGCTGGGTGGTCTTCGCGTTTGCGAGTGGGCCCTCACATTTGCAAAGAAGGGAATTTGGTCTGAGGAAACTTGTGCTTCGCGAACACGAGGAAACTGCCGCGTTCGCGAAGAAGAAAACACCTGGGCAAAATGTTTAAGTTTCAAAACGAGGGTTTTGGTTCATAACTTCAAAATTCATTAAAGAGCTTGGGAGAAGGTGATTTTGGAGAGAATTTTCAGAGGATTGATTGGGGTAAGTATTCTTTACTCAAATTTGGTTAAATCCTATGGTTATGTCTTGATTCTTATCATTAAATTTGGGAATTTGGGGTGAAAATTGGGGAAACTAGAAGAAAGTTTGGAGAGTTGATTTTGGGGATTTGGATGGCCATTTGATGTCAGATTTTGGTGAATTTGATATAGGTAGACTTATGAGCGAATGTGTTTTCCAATTTTATATTTTTTATCGGATTCCGAGACGTGGGCTCGGGGGCCGGGTTTGAGCTAATTTCGGGTTTTTTGAGTTAGTTTGATTATTTTCGCTTGGGCTTTGTTCCTTTAGCGTATATTGATGATAATATATTGATTTTGGTTAGATTCAGAGCATTTGGAGGTCGATTCGAGAGGAAAGGGAATCACGAGCTAGAGTTTTTGTCCGATTTGAGGTAAATAATGATTGTAAATGTTGTCCTGAGGGTATGAAACCCCGGAATTCATATCGTTTCACTACTTTGAGGTGGCGCACACACAGATGACGAGTGTAAGGAGGGGAGGGGGTGCACCGTTGGGGATTGTGACTGGGTCCATCACGTACGACTATTAAGTCGCGTATTTGATGCTATTGTGTTTTGGAAAGTATTACTATATTATGGGGTGAATGCCATATTTGGGCCTCGTGCCAACTGTTTGGACCCTTAGGGGATTTTTACTACTATTTCCTTACTGTTTTGGTTTAATATCTACACTCAGTCATGTTATGTTACTGATTTCATAACTCGGTCTTGTTTACTCTGTTTTGATTCTATAAATGATATTTTGGGCTGAACACTCTATTTTACTGTTAGCCCGAGTGGCTTGAGAGATTTCTGACTGAGTGAGATAGAGGGCCTGTGTTGTGAGGATATCATGGGATCGGGCTACGCGCCGCAACATGTTGTACTGATTGTGATAGATGAGAGGCCGAGGGCCTGATTTATTACGCCACGAGATGGCTTGTGATAGCGTTTGGGTTGTAGGAGCCTTTCCGAAGTCTGAAGACCCTCAGTGAGCGCGGGTACCAAGTGTGAGTGATGTGATTTTACCCGAGGGGCTATTATTGATTCATGTTGTTGCCCGGGGGGCTGATTACTAGTGATTGTGAGGTAGCCCGAGGGGCTGGTTCTGTTGATATTTTGCCCGAGGGGCAGCTTATGGTACAGGTTTTGCACGAGGGGCTGTTTACATTTCTATCATTTTGACTCATTGTTTCATCACCTATTTGAAACTATTGAAAGATGTTTTAAAAGAATTTTTTTTTACTGAAATTGAGTTTGTTTTACGAGATAATTCTGTACTATTTTGGAAATGTATTGTACTTGCTGTAGTGCTATGATGTGGAATTATCTGTTTTCTTACTGCTCAACTTTCATAGACTTTTATTACTTACTGAGTTGACGTACTCACATTACTCCCTGCATATGAGTTGCGGGTCGCGATAGTGCGCATTGATTGTCCTTCCAGCAGGTCTTCGGAGTTGGCAAGGTAGCTGTTTGGCGTTCGCAGCCCTGTATTTCTCCTTCTTACCTTACTCGGACTGTTCTTAGTATTTTATTTCCGGACTATGATAGTTTTTCTTGTACTTAGAAAGATCTTATAGTTGCTCGTGACTTGTGACACCCGATGTCGGGCTTGTATTATTTTCTTCCGCACTGGCTATTTAGACTTATGTTATGAGATTATGTTAATTAAGAGCTTAAAAAATGACTTTTATGGGAAAATGATATGATTTGGGATGTGTCGGCTGGCCTAGTTTCACGATAGGCGTCATCATGACCAGGTCAATTTTAGGGCCGTGACACCTCGACACCAACAATCATATTAGCACTCAAACCAACATTTGTATAATCCCGACTTCCTACCACGAAATAGAATAAATACCATCAATTTGAGAATATTTTTACTTTCAATTGATTTTTCAAATTCGTTGAACGCAGATATGGCCGCATCATAAGATTTGAAAGACTGGAAGATGCTATACTTAACCCCGATAACCATAGGAGAATATTTACTCCATGAGTAGTATATTCTTGGCCTTTTACCAGAAAATATAACCACTACAACAAATTTGATTTATATATAGCAACAAATGTCTTTGTCACTAAAAGGCTTTATTTCGTCACTAAATATCTTTTCTGACCAAATTTTTTTCGTCAATTCTTCGTAGCCATAAATGGGTCACTAAAAGTTTACAAAGACGATTTAGTGGTTCGTCGCTAAATGACGTTACATTAGTGACAAATTTATTATTTTGTCCCCAAATATATTAAATCAGTGACGAATTTGTTTGTCAGAAAAACTTCAACTTTTTTGTAGTAGAAATAACTTTCGTCACTAAATAAATTCTTAATACCGACAAAACAAATTTATCACTAATTTTTATCTTGATTAGTGACAATTTTAATTGTCTCTAAAGTAGTATCTAATTTGTAGTTGAAAAATGTGATTTTGTCACTGAAGATATGCAAATTTTAAAGAAAAAGATTATCATTTGTACACAAAACGTTTTCGTCCCTAAATGTATGAAATTAAAGACAAATTTGTTTGTCTAGAAAACTGTAACGATTTGTGACCGAAAGGTATTTGGCGATAATTATATAGGTTTTGGTATTATTTGCCATTTTTTAGATAAATAGATTATTTTAATATTTAGAATTTATAAATAATAATGAATATTCTATAATTGAATATAATACATTTTTGCAAATTTTAATGTTTATAGGACAAATTGTTAAAAACTGCAGAATCTTTATTTATCATAGAGGATTAGTTATAATATTTGGGATTATCGGAATACAAAGATGAGGATTAAAAATATATACACAAAAATATGAGTAGAGGAGTAAAAACATGACATTTACCCTGTATATTACAAAGATTTCAGTCTCAAATCCCCAACTAACATAAAGAAACTGCATCTAACACTTAATACATTCACCATTTCTCAATTTAAAATCTTTAGATTCTTGAACATCTTTTTTGACTGCATAGTTTCTTTTTCTGTTTGCCACGGATCTCTTCTTGCTTGGCTCTGTCTCTCGCCCATGTTTTGGCTTGAAGAGCCTCATATTGGTGAAGGCATGACCTTGTTTGTCAGAGAAAAAAGATAGTCAAAGACATGACATCAACAGAAAAACATAGAAGACTAACGAGTTTAAATAAAAAGAGAAGAAAGACAAACCTATAGATCTTTCGTGAAACCGTCAATGGTGGCAGAGTTTTGAAGAAACATAGTCACTTTTTTATGAGAGAGAAGTCGGGAGATGTGAAACTGTAAATCAGTCTACAGTTTTAATTTGTGGGAATGAGCATTTGATCCATGATGAGTATCTTTATGGATTGATTCTGTTTCATTTCCTTAAGTTTAGGGATATTAACAAGAAAATGAGCCGATTATCTCGTCCACTTTGTTATGCTAGTTATTCTTACTTATATAGCATTTTTATTTATTTGACGAAAAAAATTTAAATTGGTAAAAGAATCAAAAGAGAACTACATAAAGTAAAAGATCAATTTTCAAATTCTATTCAAAATTATACGTTAAGGCCGAAATTTCTATATTTTGCAAGAAGCCTTAAAACAATACTTTTACGTAATTCCCTTCTAAAATTCTTTTGATTTAAGAAAATCAAACATTATGTTTTCTAAAAAAGATACAACAAAAAAAAGAAATCAAAAGTTCCTTAGTTTTTTTTTTGTTTTGAAATTCCTTAGTTTGTTTATTTGAACATAACATTATGAAAAATAGAAGAAAGTATCATTTATTTTCAAAGAATTTTCCTCTTTTCTTTTTCAACTAGTATTAGTACCCGCACGGATGCGCGGACATTAATCATGTCAAATATTTAAGTTATTTGAATTGTATGTAAATAATCTTAAAATTTACACTTTCTCAGTAAATATAGATAATCATTGGATATTAACTACATGAAAAAAATTAACCATTTCTTCTATTTTTCTTTTTTGATACAATTCTTGCCGATGTCATTGGATCCTAAAAATAGTTAGGAAGTAAAATAATAACTTATATTTATGGCAAAACAATCAANTTCTCAGTAAATATAGATAATCATTGGATATTAACTACATGAAAAAAATTAACCATTTCTTCTATTTTTCTTTTTTGATACAATTCTTGCCGATGTCATTGGATCCTAAAAATAGTTAGGAAGTAAAATAATAACTCATATTTATGGCAAAACAATCAAATGTTGAAACAATGAACGACTCTTTGGATAAGACTTAAATCTTTTACTACTACTTAAACTCTTATTTGGTGTGTTGATATCTCTTTAAAAATATTTCTTTCTTAAATTTCAGTTTCTAAAATATTATTTTTTAATAGTAATTATTTTTATAATAATGTAATTGAAAATATTATTCTTAATTCAAAACTCATTTTAGTTGGCTATCTAAAAATATAAAAAATTCTTTAGCTAGTGAATTATTTTTACTCCATTTTGATATTTGACATTAAGCATATTAAATATCTGAGTTATTTGAATTATATGTAAATAACCTTAACATTTAAACTTTCTAAATAATTATGGATAATTGTCAGATATTAATTAAGAAATACTACATGAAAAAAGACTAATATTTTCTCCATTCTCGTAGTGATAATTTTATTTTTGCACTATTCTCATAGGTGTAATTGAAACCTAAAAATAGCCACAAAGTAAAATAATAACTCATACTTATGGCAAAGCACAAAGGTTAACACAATATAAATGATTCTTTAATTACGACGTGACTCTTATACTACGACTTGAACTCTTATTTGGTATGATTTTATCTGTCAGAAACTATTTCTATTTTGAAATTATAATTTCTAAAACTTTTTATATTTTAATAATGATTATCTTTATAATGATGCAAGTGAAGATGTTATCCTTAATTTAAAATTAACTTTAATCGGCTATCTAAAAATTTAAATAATTCTTTGATCGGATTTATTTCAGTATGACTCCACCTTAAGTTTATCGATATTTCTAGCCCCAGAATTTGAATTTTTAATACCCTATATATACAAAAATTTATTCTTTGAATCATTAAATGTTAAATTAGTTGATTATTATTATAAAATATTGCATATATTGTCTTAAAATCGTCAAGTAGTTTATTTTTTGACACTATACTTGGTTTAACCTCAATGCAAACAACTCAAATTGCATTTCAATTCAAATTCGAATATCATATCAGTTTGTTAGTAATAGTGATTTTTTTAAAAACGACACATAATGTAAATTAAAAAAATATTCTAAGATATCCTTATCTTATAATCTATGTATTTGAGTTGAAACAAAAATATTTGAAATCGATGAGATTAACTTTCAAATATTTTATACTCAACAAAGATGAAACATAAGAAAAAATTTGCTGTCATTTTTTATTTCTAGTTTTAACCTTTTTTCAATATTTATTTTCTTTTATCTTATTTTTTATGTCATTATTTATTTTGTTACAAAAAATTAATTTATTTCACTATAAAAGGATGAGTTTTAATAAAAATTGTTGACATATGAACTTTAATTATATTTTTAGTCTTTGGTTGAAATTATTTCATATTTTTCTTTTGGCTTTATCTAATCAGCCGAATCACCCGACCACTTAAATAAAAAAATTGAATGATGTATAATTTATATATAATCCATATATAATATGTGTACAATCATGTGTTGTCGGTATATCATCTATTTATATTAGCCGTAAAAAGTAAACAATAAATATGGCCGAATATTATATAAATATTCCATAAGATTTCGGTTTTTTTAGTTTATCCATGATATAACTTCTATTATAATAATTTTAAACTCTCTACTAATGTTCAGAAATATCTTATCTTTTTATTATCTTTGAATTAAAAAAAGTAAAGACATTTTTCAAAATAATTTGTTTACATTTTTAAAAAAATATTTCAAGTCATACCAATTTTTTCTTTATATATACTCTTTGTTACTTTTAAAAGTCGTTATAGAAACTATAAATTAGAAACCAATTTCTCTCTTGTTGAGTTTAAAAAAAAAACCATTCACATAATCTAATGATTCAAAACTAATATTTTTCAACGAAAAAAATATTATACCCTTACAATATTGGTTTGACTACAACTAACTGAAGGGGTTTCAGCTTATATTGATCGATTTTGTGATGTTTCTTTCTCCAACATGTATGTTTACTTTATTATATATGTAAGTAAACTTTTATTTGGTTTTGTAAACTCTTTTTTGTTATTTAG